TTTTTTTTTTTTTGTGACAGACCCACAGCTCTGGGTTCCATTCACAAACTAAGCTTTGGAGTCATTTGTGAATTAATACAAAATTTTAGGAGGATGTGCTGCTCTAGAAACACACATATGTTTTGAATTTTTTCTTTTCTTTCCTTTTTTCTTTTTTTAAAGAGACAGTTCTTCCAGGTTGGCTTTGAACACCGGATTCTCCTGCCTCTACCTCGTAAGTGTTGGGATTATATCTGCGACATCACAAATGATTTATTTGTATTTTTTGAAGCAGAATTTTGCTTTGCAGGCCAGGCTCCATTGTGCTGAGCTTATAGCCATGTACTGCCATGCTCTGCAAAGGTTATTGCTCTTGACCATCCAAAGCTGTTTTCTCTTTGTGAACTTCTTAGCACCCATCACTTTCCCCTTCATATGCATGTTGCTCGTGATTTATAAGTATCCACGCTTATCATTATTCATGTGATGACAAGATAGTATGTACCAATAAATGCTTGGGGTTATAAGTATGTTAATGCATTCTATCCTTATAATGACCCAATTTTCAAAAGGTCAAAAACAGGTAGGAGGAACCAATAATAGGTCTGAAATTCTCTCTCATCTTGAATACGTTTTAATGGATATTATTATTATTGTTTAAGCAGATACACTAAAGCAGGTCACCCAATACTGCTCCAAATGGATACAGTGTGGGTGGGTCACAAGACTGCATACTTCTTTGCAACTGGTCTTGTGATGTCAGCACCTTTGATCTCACGTATTGGTTCCTTTGATACTTGCATTATTTTCAAAATAAAGAAATACCATCTTTTTTCCCCCCTTCTTAGTATGGGTATCAACACCTCAAAGGACAAATTAAAACCTATAAGGCAAAATTCTCTAATCAAAAGAGAAACTCACCTTTACCTTTAAGATGCCTGAAAGTCCTTCCTACTGAAGACAGCATCTTCGGTTGTCCTGAAGACGGGGTGGGATGGACGACGATGAAAACAGCGCCTCTGCAGAGAACAGGTTAAAACAGAAAACATACCCGAGGCTCAACTACTTTTAGGCTATTGGTAAAACCTTGTGTTGGCTCTGAACTTCCCAGATACTCGAGGACCTGTTTTTAATATTCCTACCTGTAGCATGAGGGATCTTTGCATCCCCACAAAGGAAGACTACGCACAATGCTAGCTCTGAAACTGTCCTGACGCCTTTGTTTGGTCATTTTACCTAGGGCTCAACGGCGCTCAGACGGTAAAGGCGGAGGACCTACAGGTGTCAGAGTTTCGCAAGGCACATGCTTGGACTAGCTACTCTTGTCCCTGTCAAAACCACTGACACCAGTCTCGTCTTCCTTATGGAGCAGTCGCGACAAATGCGTCGTGTTAGGCTCACACTTGTTACCTGGGTATACCTCAGCAGTGGTGCCACAGACTGCGTCTGTGTCCCACGTCAGAAGCAAGATAGAACTGCCATAAGGGTTCGAGGCTGCACATGCAGCCCTTGCTGCTTGCAGCCCTTTTCTGCAGTGTATAAACAGACTCGGTGTGTCCCCCTGCCCCTGCAGTTTCAAGGCAACAGCTGGCCGTATCAGTGCCAAGCAAAGGGAAAGTAATGCTCACATGCGTGCGTCACGGGAGGGGGTGGGGGCATTCACCTACACAGGCAACCCAAGCAATCCCAGAGACCTCAACCCAGGACAGTACGCATGCGCATGGAGTTCTGGCTGGGTAAGCACTGTGCAATGGAGAAGATACTTAGATTCAAGCGTGCACTCATACACTCGCGCGCGCACATACACATACGTGTCTGCGCACACATGCGAACACACAGACACACATGCACGTGCACACACGGACACACACAGATGTATGCGTACACTCGAGCACATACAGTGGTATGCCACCTAGAGGACCACACCCACCCATGTTAGGATTATCATTGTTATGATAAAATGCCATGACCAAAGCAACTTGGGGAGAAAAGGGTTTATTGGTCTTACATTTCCACATCACTGCTCATCATAGAAGGAAGTTAGGACAGGAACACAAATGGCAGAAACCTGGAGGAGGTTTGCAAGCGCTGATGCAGAGGCTAGGGAGGGGTGGTGCTTACTTGTGGTGATATATTGGGTATCAAATAAAGCTTGCCTGAGGATCAGAGGACAGAGCAAGCCACTAGATTAAACATAGAAGCCAGGTAGTGGTGGCACACATCTTTAATCCTAGCACTTCAGAGGCAGAGATCTGTTTAGATCTCTGTGAGTTCAAGGCCACGCTGGGATACATGAGATTGATTCAGTCTAGGAGAGAAACAGAGCCAGGCTGTGGTGTCACACACCTTTAATCCCAGCACTTGAGATTTCATGCCTTTGCTACCAGTATTTGGGAGGCACACACACCTTTAATCCCAGCACTAGGAAGGAAATAATATGTCTGGGTGGAGAAAGGTATATAAGGCTGGAGGAGACAGGAACTAAAGCCTTTTTGGCTGAGGACTCAGAGGTTTTGAGTAAGAGGATTTGTGGAGTTTGTGAGGCGAGATATGGCAGTGGCTTCTTCCTTTGTCTCTCTGATCTTTCAGCATTTACTCCAATATCTGGCTCTGTTTGTTTTTTTTTTTAAATTAAAAGATATTTAAGATTCGTGCAAAATTTACTGGCTTTCTCAATGTGGTTTTCTTAGCCTGCTCTCCTAGGAGACCAGGGATGGCAACACCCACAATGGGCTGGGTCCTTCCCCATCCATGGTTAGTAAGAAAATGCTCTACAGGCTTATCTACAGTCCTATTTTAGGGAAGTTTTTTCCTTCCTTCCTTCCTTCCTTCCTTCCTTCCTTCCTTCCTTCCTTCCTTCCTTCCTTCCTTCTTTCCTTCCTTTCTTTGAGACAGGGTTTCTTTGTGTAGCTACCCCTGGATGTCCTGGAACTCACAGAGACTTGCTTGCCTCTGCTTCCTGAGTGCTGGGATTAAAGGCCTATGCCACTACCGCCAGGTTGGAGGCACCATCAGCATCCTCCTCCTCCTCTTCTTTCTCTTGTGTCCCCTCCCCCCAAACAGGGCTTTTCCATGTTTTATTTATTTATTTACTTACTTACTCATTTATTTGAGACAGGGTTTCTCTGCGTAGCCCTGGCTTTCCTGGAACTAGCTCTGTAGAATAGCCTGGCCTCAAACTCACAGAGATCCCCCCTGCCTTTAGCCTCCCAGAGTGCTGGGATTAAAGGCATGCACCACCAAAGCTGGCTTAGAGTCATTTTTTTAATTGAGGCTTCTTCCTCAGATGACTTTAGATTGTGTTAAGTTGACATAAAACTATTCAGCACAGTGAATATGACCAAAATATATTATATATAAATATAATGTCCACAAAACCATTATTATGTGTAATTAGTATATATTGAGAAGAAAATAAACAATTTAGAGGTCTTATTCTTTGTGTATGTTTTAACATACATGGATTCCACCTCCCCCCAAAGACAAGGTTGGACTATGTTGTCCTGGCCTGGAATTCAGTATGTAGACCACACTGGCCTCATAAGCATCCATCTGCCTCTGCCTTCCAAATACTAAGACTAAAGGTTGAATATGATATATCAGGGCTGGAGAGATGGTTCAATAGTTAAGAGCACTTGCCGCTATTACAGAGGACCTGAAGTCAATTCCTAGCACCCACACAGCAGCTCACAATAGTCCACCACTCCAGTTCAAGAGGACCTGACACTGTCTTCTGAGCTCCTCAGGCACCAGACATGCACTTGGTACAAATACATACATTCTGGCCAAACACTCACTCACATAAAATCAAAAAGTGCCCACGGCTCTTGTAGAGGGGCCAGAGTTCCCATCATCCATGTCACATTCTGTTCACCATCTCCTGTAAATCCAGTGTAGAGGTGGGGGATGAGCGTGGGAAGTAAAGCTGATGCTCTCCTCTGGACTCTGGATCAACCTGCACTCATGCAAACATATTGTCCTCCCCCCATAATTAAAGAAAAAGAAACAAAACAAAACAAAAACCAAACCTGTCTGTAACTCTGGTTTCAGGAGATCCAATGCCCTCTTCTGTCCTCCTCCATAGGCATCAAAGATGAAAAAGATGCACAGATATACAATAGGCAGAATATCCATACACATTAAAAAACAGTCAAAAAAAATTAAAATAGGCAAATAAGTCCCAGAAATGCAATACTACGTCATACCAATAGCAGATGGACTGTGATAAAGTTAAGATGACTGAGAGAGAGTAGAATGCTGGTCACTGGGGCCCGGGAGAGTGAAGAGAATCTTTGCAGCTTTAGTTAGAGAGGAGAAATTCATTTGGAAATCTACTATGGGACTTGGAGATGATCATGAAAAATGGAGTCCAGCTTATTTGAAAATTGCTGAGTGAAG